GTTTCGCCGCGGTGCCGCGCGGCTCCGGGCGGCCCTGCCGGGTCTGTCGCGGAGGGGTGCAGGGTCCGCAGCCGCCAGGCTAAGTGTCTGTCACGCAACTAACTGTTGTGCCCTGTGCTGCACTGCGTAGGGTTGCACAGCCGGGGGCTGCATGTCGCTAAAAGCAGGGGTGTCGTGAAACTTGTGGTTACAGGTGCGGGTGGGCAGGATGCTCCTCCCGGCACCCACGTCTCTGCTATAGCTGTCTGCTCGCTGTCCACAGCCATCACCTCTGAGGGCGTTCCAGGGATCTCCAAATTCCAGATTTTGGATGGCCATACCCTTTTTAACCTGCTCAGAGGAGTAAATGCGTATTTTAAAGCAGTGTTCCTTGATCGCCTTCCATGAACAAAGAGCTTGCTGAGCTTGGTGCTAGCGTATAAAATGCAGGTGCGTGATGTTTGGCGCTTCCTTTGCTGTTTTGCAGTGCCTTACCAGAGAAGTTGGTCTTAAAAGGACAATAGACTTGTACTGAGATCCCATGTTTTTATACCTCATGCCAAATCAAAAACCCCTTTAGATTACCAAGGTCAGACCAGAGGGAGAACTTTCTCCTGTCTAGCGCAGAGGGCTATTGCTGTTTTTCTGTTTCAGTCCTCCCTCTTGTGCCATCGAAGTTCACAACACCCTCACCAGTTTGATAACTTCAGACCTTGTAGTCTCATCAGGAGCATCCTGCTCTTGCTCTCACTTTTGGTTTCTGACTTTTCCATTTTTTTTTTCCTTCAGGCAAAAGCTGGAATAATTTTGGACCACAAAGTGCTGCTAGTTAGGATGGCTACACCACACTGTCCTGGCTTGTCCCTTTCCCTGTCATTCGCCCACACATTCTTCCAGGACTCTTCCAGAGACCCCTGGAAGAAGAGCAAGGTGCTTTATAAGGAATCACAGAAAGAATCCTATTATATCGAGGAGTTGTATTTTATTCTAAAAACTTTTTTTTTTTCAAAAAAGAAGACTGTGTCATAGATGGAATAAGCAACTTAAATTCACCCTCCAGTTTAGATGCAGCCTCTTCTGTATCTTCAGTAACAGATTAATTGACCTGGGTTACATTGACCTTTATTATATGGGAGTTTTTTTGCCAATCAGCCTTAACATGGCAGATCTGCGTCACTATTATCAAGCCTCACATTTACCTCAGTACAGAACAAGACAGGGCCCAAGGCCTGGAAGAAACAGCTGAGGGTGACAAGACATCTCGACTATTTATTTTAGCAGCAGTTCGGGCTTATGTAGGGTAAAAAGCAGAAATGTTCACATTCAGAAAAGTCAGGATGGATTTAGCAATTTCTTTGCTACAGGTATGCTAGCAGAACTGTGACATGGATGCTTTTTTTTTTTTTTAGCCCACAAGTTAGAAAAATAGCAGGGTAATATTTTACTGACCTGTCTGTTTCTATGCTGGAGAGGTCAGACAGACCCAGTCGGTAGGATGTGGTTTGAAATGTCTGTCATTTGAAAGGCTCCCCTGTGCTGGGGTTGAACTCTTTTATCTGTTGCTGAGACAAAAGCCCAGTGAGGTGCTCTGGTTCTTAGCAGTACTTGGCCAGAACGCGTAACGTGTTGGTTGTTTTTTTTGTTGTTTATGCCGGGTGAGAGCCCTTCTTATTTTTCTCTTCTCTTTTTGAGCTATTACAGGCAGCAAAGCCTACCCCTTCTACCAGGGTTATCCCTCACAAAGAGCAGAGGGAAAGGGGGTTATACCATCCGCACCAGAACTTGCCTCCCCATTCTGATACTCACGCAGGGCTGCTGACTGCAAGACAGCAGAGTTCCTGGTGAAAAAGCTCTGCACCATCTCTACATTTACACTTACACCCTGTCCTCTTCCTCTACAGCCTGAATCAGCCCAGAAAACCCGGGAGGGGAATGTGGGAAGGATATGGGAAGGGGATTTTCTTCAGCATCTTAAGGTCAAGGCAGTGCAGAGCTCTGGAATGAGGGATTAAGGGAAAAGTCTGTTCCCTTTATTAGCATGTACTAAAAATATGCCTTTTAATTTCCATTCCAGTAACTGCTTTCAGCTCATTAGGAATTAAATGAATTAAATGAGTTAGTACTCCACTTCGCATTTCTCTGTGTGCTGTTCAAGAGAAACATGGCTAGCAAAACAACACATAAAATATTGTCTGCAGAGTTTTAAATAAGGTCTGGGTTCAGTGCATCTCGAAATATATTTCAGAAAGTGCAGTGCAGAAGGAACATTAAACCCATCTCCAAGGCTTGTATTTTTTGGTGTGGTTGCTCTTGTGTTGTACATTAAAAGCGTGAATCAGAAAGATAATTCTGACACAAAAGGAAAAGAACAGGTTCTGACCCTTCTTAATGTCCTCATTCACTTCATCTCTTTGGAGGCCGCAAAAAAATTATTCCAAGAGAAGATCTGATGATATGAAAGGCACTTTTGCCATCAGGCTGGCAGTTCTTCATTCAGTTTCTCCTCTAATTGGTGTGTCTGGTTTGAGTGAAGCTGTGCCCTTTCTGAAAGATTTTTGTTTAATTCTGGCTCACAAAATCCAGTAAGAATCACTAGCTTCTGGAACTCCCATCTTATTTGACTGTTTTTTTCCTAGGATAGTCACTAATGGTTGTGCACGTTCTAGTCTGTGATTCACAGTTTGTCACTAAAATGAAGGTTTTTCACTCATGTAGGGTTTGTTTTTTCTGTTAACTTAGAATCTATACACCGTGACACTGTCTGAAGTCCCAAAACACAGTGCGTAGACTATGATGTTCTCTTATTGTGATGTGTCATCATAATCAAGCATTATTTTTTTTTCTTTTATAGAACATGTACAAGCCACACACTACATGGTAGCCATGTGTGAAGAGCTTATTCATTTGATGTTGTACTCCCAAGTTTAATAGAGCAAAGTTGTGACAAAAAGTTGTGACATTTGGATGCAAAAATATTGTGATTCGTCCCTACCTAGTAGGCAGGCTACATGATAATTTAGCTGAGCTTTAGACAGTAACTGCAGTCTCAATGCCTGTGTCTGCTTTGGGACCATTTTCCTTTTTTTTTTTTTTTTCAGATTATAATTTAAATGATTCATTTCTGCAATGATAGTGGGAAATCTGCCGGTTTTCTAAAAAAGAAAAAAAAAATCACTGTTTTTGTGGAGCAATTGTTTTATCTCTGACTGTGGTTTAGGCACCTCTGATTTAGCAAAGGTAGCTTTTTTTTCTCTCTCTTTTTTTTTCTTAAGATATATGTCTTTTGCTGGTTTTGAGGAAAAAGTCACTTGGGCAGGTATGACTCCTAAGTAAATAAAATTAATTCACCAATTGTTAAAAGATTTGTTACTGTAGAGAACCTCTGGGGATTAGAAGTGTGTACTGTGCTTGTTCCAGCCTGTAGGCAAGGAGGATTTCCTCAGTGATGGTGCTCCTGGCTGCCTTGAAACCAGACACTAAAGCCAAGGACAAGGGGAAAAAAGGTCTGTCTGCTCAGTGTTGCGTTACTCGCATTGTAAAAGACAACACAGCATGTCTTCACTGCAGAGCCTCAAAGCATGTTACAAAGGCTACAAAGTCAGCCGGGAAGAAAATAAGAAGGGAAAGAATAGTTGCTCAGGCAACATAGTTAAAATTAACTACTCGTTAATAAAATCCAACTCCACTTCTGACCTCATGTGTGATACCGGGATTGACAAAATTTGTTCCTGATTCTCCTTCTGAATTTATAGTGGGAACCTCAGATCTTCATTTGACTCCAAATGCAGCTGTGTTTGTAGGCCAATTATTATAAAAATAGACAATTGGAAGGTATGTAGATGTCAACACAAAAAGTAGGCACTTAAATGTGTTCATATACGTGGACCCACCTGCCTTAAAGCTGACAGATACTCTAGATATCATTGCCTTACAGTTCTCAAATAAATAAAATAAATGCCTGCCTTCACAGAAATGCCAGAACAATTAACTTTGTTGCTAGAAGCCTCAATCAAGTACATTTTCTAAAACTTAGAAGAATTGCTGTTACACATAGCATGATTTGATCAGTTTTTTTATTACACATAAATTCTTGTGTTACTTTAACCCCACAGTGCACAGTCACTTCCAGGGCACTGAATGAGGCTACCAGTGGATTCGGCTTCTGCTCTCTCATCTCATTGCAAGAGAAGTGCCAGTGAATAATAATCTTTATTTGGGTAGATGCGGGGAGGGAATGTTCGCTTTCTTTTTGAATGTGTTCTTTATCCTGGAAGACAGTGCGCACATGTATTTATCCCCAGAGCAGAGGCAGTGTCACTCCAGAGCATTTTTTCATCTCTCAAACCAGAAAGTGCAACTCCTGCACAAGTTAAGGGAATTAAGACAACATTTAATGGCAGCGGAGAATCTAATTAGTTGATCTGTCTCTACGAAACGTTAGGTACTTGACAAAAATTCCTTGAAAAACTATCCAAGTCCTTGGAGAAGAAGCCTATAACTTTGCTCTCAACACAATTTTATAGGAAGCCAAAGGGTGAGATGAACCATATTTTGCTGAGATCTGTCTGTTCTTACTGTCCAAATATCCCCTGGCCAATTTGTCTCTTTCAGACTCCAGCTTTCTAAAAATTAGCAAATGAGGTTTTTTAATTTTTTTTTTGGGGGGGGGGTTATTTGTTTGTTTTTTACAGAGAGCAGTGTTTAAGAGACATTGCCATAGTGCAATTCATTCTCTCTTCAAATTCAGCAAAAGACTTTATCAAAATGTGCCTTTTCCCAAGGAGACAGCCACACTTTCCTACCAAAAATGCTGTTCAAAT